TCTTAAAATGTATACAAGTATTATTTACATAGAAATCTCAAAAAGAACCAAAAACTAAAAAAGGAAAGTATTGACTTAAAATATTTTTCTTAAATGTAGTATACATTTGGACATTCATTTATATATACATCTAAAACAAGTTATGCTGTGAGTCTAAACTTTAAAGTTATAACTGTAAGTTTAACACATGAAAAGTAATTAGTAGGTGCTCTCTTTTATGCAATATATGCTTAGGTCTTACACATATAAAATAATCAAAAATTAACATCTTAAATTTGGTTCTAACATTTAAACTCGATCTATTTGTCTATTGATTTTCATTAAATGGCATTTTTGTTACTGCGTAAATGAGATATACTTATATAGTAGGTAATAAATTTATTTTCACTTATTAGAACTGTCTCCTAAACTTATCAACCCTGTAAAGAAGTCCTTAATTCTTGTCAATATAGTTACACCCTATAAAACCCTTTGAGTCTAAAATTTGTCTTAACAGTAGGAACTAAGTATGTAAAAATATCTATATAACTGTGATACCGAATGTTGCTAGCCTCAGTACATTAAATGATATTGTTGTGTTTCCCAAGAGTAGAGGCCTTCAAAGATGTGAAACTGAAAAACACCTTATCATATGCGTGACTTCCGTGCTAAAATTACTGATGGTGGTAAAGGTTTTCAAGCTCAAGCATCTGGCTTTCCCTTGTTTTCCAACTACTTGTGATGAAATGTGCATGGTAATCCAGAATGAGACAGCTACCAGGTGATTCAGATGTGCTTTTAGGCTTGTGCTTATGTGATTGTTATGTAATTGTGTTATAACAGTTATAGGTACCTAAACACGCTACAGTTCAAACAATGTCACTCTAATGAATGGAGATTATGCATTAATGATCTGTAAAGTACATCTATAAATAAGTACATTCCACTTAAATGTCACTCTGGTAATAGCAGATTGTCAAAAGATAACAAAGGAAAAGTTTCTTTACACCATTTAGTATTTTGTAATTAGATAAAGGTAACTGACTAAACAGTTATTTTGTACTAAGTGAAGACTTAACGTGTTTTGGAGATAATAATGTCATCATGATTGCCGTGCTAAAATGTTATGCTGTCCTGCATCTCAAGTTTTCTCTGTAAAACTTTACGATTTCTATCTGCAGTTGTCCTGCAGGAATTCAACTTTTAAGACAACCATGATTGGAAGTAACAGTTCCTTCATCATGTTATGTATTTCAACTATTCTATGTGTTCAACTACTGGGGTTTGGAAACCAGAGGTTAAAAAGATAACTGGGCTAGGGGGACAGGCAATATTTTGGCCTTGGTCCTCCAAGGTCAACCAGGATCCAGGACATGAGGGGACCTTTTCTATAGGATCTTACATCTTTGGTAAATCACTCAACGTCCTGAGCAGGGAGACTGTTGGACCTCAAATAGGAGGCAACCAATGCACAGTGTATCAAAGAGAAAAATGTCTCCCATGCTTCCACAGGGAGCCATATGATCAAGCAAGACTGGGACCCATCCTGAAGGCTGACACTCACAGAAGAGCTGAGAGGCTCAGTACTTGGTTCCAAAAGTAACCCTAAAGAGCCTTAATTGACCTTGATTAACTTGCTCTTAAGCACGCAGCAAAGTATAACCAAAAGTGTATTTCAAAACATCATTGTAATAAACTCTGAGTACAGAAAGGGGGCTCCAATCACTGACTCCCACTGTCAGTTTCCAGCTACACCTGGAGCTGACCACTGTTGCTATTCAGTGAGTCCAGAAAACTACAGTGCAAGCCATAAAAACCCAGCTAGAGTCTTGAAATCCCTTAGCTAAAAATTGTCTTTCAAAACTGCAGAGCCCTTTTAACTTCTTATGGATAAAACTTTATGGACTTGTGCACTAATAAATGAAATCTGTTGTCTTTAGATAAGTAATTCATATTTGGTGAAAAAAAATCTTAAAGCAAATATCAGACTTACAGACAACCTTTACCAACCGACAGGTCTGGGAACCACCTGGTTATGATTGCTACTACAGTCCCTTAAGAGCAATGTAGGCATGTGGCTTTTCCTTCCGATCTGCCTTTCCATACTAGTAATCATGCTTTGACTGAGTGCGCTTTAATTTCTTGGAAAAAGTTATGTATTCTCGCCTGCAGGCTACCAAACTCCAAGTAATCACGCGGCAATAATGACCAATGTGTCAGATTTTTACCAGTATCCACTAGACTGACCTAAAAGGAGTTCCCTACTGCTAAACCCCAACATGACTTCTACCTAAGGCCTATTAGATTAGCTGTCTAGAGAAGGTCCCTGACTGCAGTCTCCCCTACAGATCCTTCTCAATTAGAAGCAGCTAGATTAGAACTGCATTCATTTGCCCCTCACCTGTCAGTGACACCTCTTCAGAGCGGAGAGTATGAGGCAGCAAAGTTAGACAGAAATTAATACACAGACAGAGAGACTGGGCTATAAAGGAAGTCAGTGAAAGATGAAGACCTCAAAATTGTGGCTGGAGGTACTTGTAAAGAAGGCAAGGCCTCAAGACAAAGTCACTTGTATAATTCCTAAGGAGTAAGAATTTGAAACTATACTGTAATTAGTACTACCCAGTCCATTAGAGTTTTATAACAGATACCTAGGTGGCTGGCCAGATCTCCTGAACTCATCCCTTCCTCAAACTATTCTGTTTTAGAAGTCAGAGATAGGCCAGGGTTAGTGATGCTAGCCATACGAACTTGCTACATGCCCCGTTCCCCTACTGGATCCATATTAGCTAAGTGACTATATTTTTATTGGTCGATTATAATTTGACCCACGTTGTGACTTTACTGTATAAATTACCCCTGACAAAGGGCCTCGGTGGCAACACAGTTGGGACCCTTTCAGTCTCTCATAAGCCAGCTCTCATAAAGCTTTCCTACCCATACAAAAAACAATGCCAGCCCCAATCGGACTATCCATGCCTTACTCTTCTCTTGCTCGGTGGCTGCCCTGTGAGCTAAGAAAGGCAAGGATGGGGTGATAAGGGCTGGCATTTTTGATCTCTAGTTTTCACGGCTGATTATTTTTCTGCTAGGTTTTATTTGGAGACAAACTCAGTAGGAGAAAAGTCTGTAAGTACCATGGTTTGTAGACAGAAATTTTCTTTTTTAATCAATTTTACTGTTACATTTTAGATATACATAATCACATTCATCATAGAGAATTTGTACCTATGAATGATGTAACTTACGTTTTTCTAATTTTTTTTCTTTACTAAACATTTGGTTAGAAGAAATGAACATTAAGTTACTTCTCATTGTTCGCACTACTTTTGCAGGTGTCTTCAGTGCAGACACGGATATGGGTGTGTGTGAGAGTGTGTGTGTGTGGGAGTATGTGTGTATCCATAAATATGCTCCTGGGACAACAGAAATACACACTGTTAAAGTATTATTGGAAAGAAGATTGGTAACTTAAAAGGACATCCTCAGTAGTTAACCTGAAGTATAAGACACCACAGTATCTGAAAAATCTCTTTTAAGCCTGTCAACTTTATAGGGAAAAGCTCAACAGATCTAAAAAGTTTTATTCACAAATGTAAATGTATTGATGGAAAACATTAGATCTTAGCTAGCATAATGCATTTGTAGCTTTATTTCTATGTGCAGAGAAGTTCTTTCTTTATGCCAGTGTCATATTTGGCAAACATCTGGAAATTTTAACCTGTGAATAAATATTGTCCAGTTCATTTTATACCTGTAATTTTGGTATTCTCAAACCTAGTCATCAGTTAAAATCTGTAAACTGTCCTCTGGAATCAGACCTTCTTTTCTTCTGTTTAGATTTTGCACCAACCTAAATGATAAATTAGTTAGTAGCCAATAATGATAAGATAATAAAAACAGAGGTTATACTGCAGCCCAAATTTTCACAAAGCTATTGTATATATTCAAAGACTTCCATGACACTATGACACTATCCTTGGGCCCTTTTAGTAAGTCACAAAGGAATTAGGTTACTAGAAAAAATAATTACTTTAATACTTCATTATTAATTTTTACCCTTATGAGTATTCTTTAGGGTTAAAGTATACAGTCAATGTAGAATTTCACTTCAAGTTATTGACATGAGGAAGAAAAATATTTCAGTTAAAATTTCTGAAAAAAAAAGTACAGAAGCTTAATTCAGTCCGCTTCTAAATATTTTCTTCCTCTTTAGGCTGTCTCACAATTAAACTATATTTGGCAGATCCATCTTGTAATTGGTGTTATATAAAGTCACATGCATAAGAATAGAATGATAAAGCAAAAAAAAGTCAATATTTGAGCTGATAAAGAGAATTATGGCCATGTGATAAAGTAGCAAGGTATGATCTCTGACACTTACTGGGCATTCCTTAGATACATGATTAGTGAGTGATTTAACCAAATCGAATGTGATCTGCAGCCATTAACAAAGGCTAGATATATTGGCTAAATCATCTGAGCCAAAGGGAAATCACAAACGAACATGCAGACTCATAGCATTTGATTTTTCTTCAAAGCATGTTTCACTCACCAAAGGTTAACGTTCCTTTCAGGGAGCTATACAGGTATGGCTGAAGCAAGAAAATGAAAGCCATCCCTGTGATATCTCTGCTGCTGAAGACCACACAACAAAGATACAGATAAAGCAAATGTCTGATTAGTCACACAAGTGCATAATCTGAAGTCATCCAGGCTTTGCAAGCACACCTACTGTTGACCCTCAGCATCCTCGCACAGAAACCAAATGGCATCACCATTTCTAATCTGGAGGTCTTCTGATCCCCTCTTTCTGCAGTCTACTAGGGTTTTATATTTCTCTGGAGACTGCAAAGTTGTTTTGAAAAATTATATTACAAATTTGATTGAAAAACTGCTTGCATACTGACTGTTGTCCATGACACAAAGAATTCACTGCTTCAAAAGTAAATGTGGTAGTGGCAACAGCTTTGCAAGAGCAAACTTGGGCAGTATGTGGCGGAAAAACAGCAGGAGACGGGTTTATATAATCTGAAGACTTTTTTATTTTGAAAAAGAGAATTACAGCATGAAATGTACAGAAAATAATAGAGCACAATTCATTTGTTACATGAATCAGAAGCATTAGTCCAGAAAAAAGAATGAAAATATTAGATTTTGAATACAATTATTTGTAAACTACTCTTATGAAAATTTTATCTTGGCAAATACAAAAGGCAATAGCTCTGAACAAAATTTACTAACACCCCCCAAAGTATTTCCAGACTTAGTATCATTTTGCACAGGTTAAAATAATGGGCACAAAAGCTCTAGATCCAATGAAAGCCTATTAAATCATAATATTGTGCTTCACTTGACCTTAATCATTTTGCAGCCATAATTTTAACGTAGTTCATAATAAGCTAAATAATCCAAGGCACACGGATTGTATTTGGTTACAAAGATACAGAAAAGAAACAATTTTTAAGTCCAAAAGTATTGTGAGATGAGAGTTTTTTCCAGCATAATATCTTCTACATTAAATGCAATATTTTAACGTATAATGAAAACTTATCGAAACAAAAGAAAAATTATGTGCGGTTGATTCTTCGCAAGTCCAAAGGAGAAAAAAAAAAAAACATGAAAATAATATCCACATTATGTGGGTTGAACATCTTTTGAGCAGTATTTTTTCCAAATGGGCTGAAGAACAGACAGGAAGCAGCTACTTGCCATGTGACAGGGTAGCTTCATCAGTACAGGAGAGCCACATCCGACACGGATCTCTACAAGGGAAGTGGAATCCATTATTTCTCAGTTTTCACCTTAATGAAGTGAAGCCAAAAGACAGCAGCTCATTTCAACTTCATTTTGTGATGGGGGATACAACACATTGTATTTCTCTTTGGTATGATTTCCTTAGGAGCACAACTCTGAAAATTATTGGGAGAAGAGGAAAACTAATAGGTTTCCTGTATTCCCCTCCCCCATGATTAAGACATTAATACATTTTGCATATTTATTCTGTTTTGGGACTCCATACCCAGAAAAATGCTTGCTGAAGGCTCAGATCTCAGTCATCTTTTCCGTCACAGGTCATCTGTAACAAATGTTTAAACACAAAATAGCTCGCTCTGGCCTTTCGCTCACATCTGAACTACCTGTTACTCCAATCCAGTTTATCCTCAGCTAATACTAATTAGGAAATTGATCTTTTATTACTAGTCAAAACCAGTGGTCCTCAAAGCGAGGGAAGCAGATCCTTGAGGTTCCCGAGATCCTTTCGAGGGATATGTAAATCAAGCATCCATTAAGCACTGTTTGCCTCTTTTACAGCATACAGTAGTTTTCTAGAGGTTGTCCAATGTGTGATAGCACAACAGATTGGATGCAAAAACAGATGTGAGTGTAGTTACAATGGGTTTATTAATAATGTAAAATAAATAATTTTTATTTCTAGCTTTTAATTTATAGTAAGGGAAACATCAACAGATGTAAATTGTATAAGAGTTCCTCAGTGCTCTTAGTTTTTAAGAATATAAAGTGTTCTTTTACTCAAAATTGGAGAACTGCTATTCTAGACAATTACCTCTATTACACTTTGCTTGCTATCTCTGAGTCTCAGTTTCCCCTTTGTAAATTACAGGTAAGAGAATTTGGCTTTTCCCACACCAATACATGCTGGTAATATTGACGAATTATTTGAGTAAGCTGCAAGGTTTCATATTATGTTCATCATATTATCAGAAGAAAAACATCTATTACGTTTTTTAAAGACAGGATTTCAGAGTCAGTGCTGTGCAGCCTGTGATTGCCCAGCCATTACTCTCTCACAACATTAGACCTTCTAAATTGAATCGGTTTCTCTGAAAGACACCATGGAGCAGCCCACTGCAAAGCAGCTTTCCCACCCTCCAAGCTGGTGCCCCTAAGCGGTCCAAAACATCCCTCTAATAGCCCAGTAGGATCCTAACTACTTGGAAATGATTTCTCCTTTGAAACAGTTATATTTGCCCTAAAGCCACTTCCTTGTTCTAATATGCTGATATCGGGTATCATTAGTGCATTTTTTGAGAACTTGCTAAAATAGGTTCCTCAGAGGTTATGAAGTCTTTTTAATGTGTAATTTTTATTTCCTATATTTTCCAGTCTGGAATCTAAACTAATTTCTATGGTATATTTGAAGCTTCATAGTCTCTGATTCTTACATATCTGAATGAAAAACAGTTGTGGGTAAAATTACACAGAACTACACATAAAAACATAAATAAGTGCATGAAAAACAGGTGAAATCTACTTGAGTGAGTCCGTGAGTATTACCAATGTCAATCCCCAGGTTTTGACATTTTACTATAATTATTCAGAGTGTTATCATTAGGGAAACCTGGGTGAATAGTACACAGGAATGCTCTGGACTATTGTTGCCATTTTGTGAGAATTTATGAATTATTTTAAAATAAAAATTTAAAGAAAATCCTGCATACATAAAGAGAAATACTGAAAGAAACATCCTACATTTTATTTAAAAAAAAAAAACAGACAGGTCGAATTGTAGAAATCTGGAAAGATTGACTATTTCATCAATTTCACTGGAGGTCCATGTATAGCTCAATTAGGTTCTAAATAAGGAAAGAAGTATTTACTGAATATTCATAATGAGATATGCTTTAAATGTTTTGGTTGTAGAATGTAGCTAATGACTTCAGGATACTGATAAAAGATCGTCTCTAGGTGTTTCAGCTATTTTACCAATAACACTGCCTCAAAAATTTTAATGTCAGGGGCTAGGGATTTAGCTCAGCAGCATAAGCGCCTGCCTTGCAAGCGCATGGTCGTCAGTTCGATCCCGGGTACTCGTAAAAAATAAATAAATAAATAAATAAATAATTTTAATGTTACTACTAACCAGTAAGGGTGTATCTCCTTCTTCATTGCCAGCATAAGCTGAGTAGAAATAGTTGTTAGCCCATTCCTCAGGCTCTTCGGGGTTTTCTGCAGACTGTGACTTCTCAGGCCAAACTAAAAGAAAAAAATTGAGTGTAGCCATTACTTAAAGGTGCTGGTTCACCACAAGGTGAAAAATAAACTAACCATAATACTCCAGGCTGTATACTTTAGATTAGTATCTTGCGCTATATAATAAGGTTGCCCATTAGGCTGCACTATTTGGGAACTAGTGACATATAAAAACAATGCCTGAACTGTCACATTCTCTTTTTACTCTTTTTAGAATGGTGGGAAAGTTGTTAACAGTATTAAGTTGAATAACATTTTAGAGAACATTTACCTTTTCTTACACAATTGTATTAGTTACATTCAAACAGTCCTTATAATTTCTGCCTGGTATTAGTATTTTGGCTTAGTTTCTCTCTTCTACTAGGTGGAGATCATGAATCATACATTAGATGTCCTATGAGACTCTGCATTGCAGAAAGTACTTGATTTTGTTTAAAAGATAAATTGACTTACATTAAGTAGTCTAAATTACAAATTAGCACAATCTCATCTTGGCCATACTAAACTGTTCACGTGACCTTGGGAAGGTCATGTCAGTCTTCTCTGACTTGGTTTCCATATCTGTCAGATGAATGCATTGACACTAGGGCCTCTCCTGAGTGCTGTGGAGGCCAACATGAGAGAAGAGACCTTTGAATGGATAATGGAAAACTGCGTGAGGTCATCATTACTGTTTCTCCTCAACTACTGGGAAACTCTTCCAGATTCAGGATCATCATACTTCAGTGTTAAGTACCAGGCACCATGTTTGGCATTTCTCCAGAGGACTCTCTGCTGATGATGCCAGAGCTGTTGAGGGGATCCTATCGTGTGCTTCTATAGCACCTATACCTCCCTACTGGGACACGCCACATTTAATTTTAATTGCTTGTTGAATTCTCTTCCTACTCTCCTAACTTCATGAAGATGGCGGCTAGATGTACCTTAATTAGACTTGATGCTCAATGTTTTGCATAGTTATGGACACACAGATCATGCTACATTAGAACTTGTTGAATTACATAAATGATTAAAATCACTTCAAATCACACTATTCTCAGAAGGACAATACACATTCCAGGTGTGAATTACTCCTCTCTGTCTACTAAACTAAGTGAAACGTGCATTGCTTGAAACCCATATATGTGTTTTATTTATCTCTACCCCTCCATTGTAGGGGTTCCCATACAGCATATAGATCAGAATCATATAGAGGTTGGTCAAAATTCAGATGGCTGGGTCTCATGCCCAGCCAGAGTTTGTGCTGCAGAAAATCTGAAGCAGAGAAGCCAAAGGAGTTTCCTTCTGTATTTCAAGTTCCAATTGATGCTACTGCTCCTGCTCCAGGAGTGACACTTTGACAACCACTGCTCTACAGTGCCCACCGAGCATTTAGCATATGCCAGACACGAACCCTTTGAGTGTGGGTTAACTTTTTTTTCTCTTTACACAAAAATAACAGATGGATGGGCTTCACACATTAGCAATTGGAAATAAGAACTTGCACAGCCTTGAATCTCCTCTGGGGATGACCATGACACATACCTGCACTTGCTTCTGCCTGAACTGGCACGGATGTCTCACTGCCCTGGACCACAGCACCAGTGTGCTCCGATTCAGCTTCTTCAACACTTACAAAAGCTGCCTGATGTTTTCTGAAACAGTAATTAACAGCAATAAATGAGCTTCTATACACTCTAAGAATAGTAAGTTAAAAGTTGTATTTCTTCCCCCAATACCATGTGTTAAGAACAAGCTCTGAGAGTCCATTCAAACAGTTCATAATATGCTGAAGCCTAAATCCTAGGACCCAAGCCTGCAGGTTCTCTCTTACGCAAAGAAAAAAACCAATCCCTTCTAGATTCGAAGCAGGTAATGTTGTGTGTAACTGCTTTGGCTCTGTGGACTTTTATCTTTAATGAGTTAGGCAAGGTATCTATAAATGAAGATTAGACCCAAAACTGTAGATTAAGACTAGCACTGTTGAGTAGGTCCCATCCACTATTAAGCTCTTATATACAAACTAACGTGTTTGCTTCTACAATGTAAGATAAAAGATTGAGTAGTGACTTGGGTTCTCCTAAAGCCTTACCTGAGCCTCAGAGGCACATTCTTCTGATTCTGGTTACTTATAAAAGATGATGAGCAAAAGAAAAAATATATTTCCTGTAAGTCATTCAATAATCCCTACATCATGTAGACACTTCATGATGAATGTCCTTGCCCAGATTCTGGAATCAGTTTGGAAATCCTTTCTGCATACATAGCATTGTTCTGTGGACTGTCTACCTTCTAGAATTCCCTAAGGTAGACTAAAAAGCCCATATTTCCAAAACAGCAGTAATGTGCTATCATACAAAAGTGCTACCTTCTTTAAGGACCTTGTGGTTGTGTCTAGGGTCAGTTCCTTCTCAGAATTCTAACCTCCTCTCTAACCATGTAGAGAGAAAGGCCAAATCACTAGCAAATACTCTCCATCAAGGGACCCAAAGCTGGAAGCGAGTCTTTTATCTGACTTTTTTCCATATTCTTACAACTCTTTCTCCAATCAGACTGAAGGTAACCAAAAATACCTGGCCAAGAAACCCATGAGTGCAGCCACTTTTACTGCCTACTTGCAAATCTTCTTATGATTATACTGAGAACAAAGCATCAAAACCAATCTGAGGGAAAACATTTAAGGACCACCAGGCACCGATGAATACATGGCTAGAACTGGGATAAAAATGTACTTGTGGAATCAGATGAGCTGTGGCTAAAACAGCAGGTCTGATTTTGTCTGAGATACTTTATGTTGCTTCCCATCACACACAGAAAAGAGAAGACTGTAGAAATGATATTTTAAAAGAGTTATCACTTACTCATCATTCTGCCCAGCAGAAAGTTGATCTCGTTCTGTTACCTGATCCTGTTGCATCTTTTTAACTATGAAATACAATAGAGCTTCTATAAGTGTCATTCATAAGCCACACTCCCTGTATCCTAAAAGGTCAATGGTCTTAGTGTCTGTCTGTCTGTCTGTCTGTGTCACACACACACACACACACACACACACACACACACACACACACACCCTTACCCTTTCCAGGGACTTGAAATAACCGGAGAGAACACCAGTCTAAAGTTGAACTGGGAAAGGTCCAAACCATGTCTAGAACTGGAACCAACCCCCCATCCAAACCTCATCGAGCACTGATTACTTAAGCCCTGAGTAATTTGCCTCCTGTGAGGGATTGGAATTAACACCATTCAATCACTGTGTTGCTTCTCAAGCACTAAGGTTTATTTTGTAATATAACATAATTTAAATGAAACTCTAAACCTCAATTTCTCACTTATTTCTTTAACAAACCTGCTTATTATTTTAAAAGGCAAATATCAGTTATTCTCTTTCTCTGCCAGTGTCACAAGGTCTGAGACAACGAGCTGTTACTACACTTCCTGTGTTGAAAATGCATATTTGAATTTACCTGTCATAAGTTCCTGCTGCTTCAACAAAATATTTCTTATTTCTTTTAACCATGACATCTTCACATCTACATTAGGAGCCTAAAGATGTAAAAAGGGTGGAAGGTAAATTTTCTTTAAAAATAAGACTTCTATCACAGGACAAATGTAATTAAATATATCAAACATGATCTATTCCCAAAACACCATGTACGACTTCTGGCCTTTTGGACCTTAAAACTTTTAAGAAGCTAGTCATTGACCATCAGATTGGATGAAATAATACAGTCAAAATCATTTCAAAACTGCCCTTAACTAGTAGACTGACAACTAAATAAACTGCAAAATATAATTTGATTTTTCTCTTTTCAGGAAAGGTTCTTTGTAAAATATAAATATTTTTCTGTCTTGGTAAAATAAAGTAAGCTCTAATATTTCTGAAAATAAAATCAATGGCAAAATAATCTTAGTGACTAAGGAAACATCAAAGCTTGCTTAAATATCTTCCCATTACTTACAAGACACGTTTGTCAAATCTTACCAACTATTACATCTTAAAGCAAACCAGGCGAAGTATTTTTAGGGATTATAGTCACTAAGTGCAGAGCTAAAGCAAAAGAATTGCGTGATTGTTAACAGATGACAGTGTCTGGAGGAGTCATGACTCATTCAAAGATTAATGGCAACACCTTCTTGAAATACTGATTCTTCGCATTTTCCCTGAAAGAGAGTGGGCCCTACAGCTCTTCGGACAGAGCTGTAACCATATTCTTTAAAACCAGGGAGCAAATCTGAGCTGTCAAAGCCCCAGGTCTTATAATCAGGTGTCCTTTGAGTACTGAAGAAAACAGGGACTCAAAACTATGACAATTCCAAAGCCTTTAAAAACTTGAAGTCAAAGAAGCACCTGCCGAGCTGTCAGCTACAGTTAATAAGTCTCCTAGTGTAATTGTGAAAACTTAAAGCACTACAAACACCTCAACCTAAATAGTACCTTAATTTAAAGAAAATGTGCTACCTGGAAAAATGTGAAGTACACCACTAAATATACTCAAATAATACACAAGTGATTTACATGAAAAGAGTGAGATTTTTTGAAATATGACCAAAATTATTTTAGCAACTCAAAATATACCAGGGATCAAGCTCATGACCTTGCACTTGCCAACTCATTTTTATACCTTAGCGCAGTTTAAGGTGTCTAAAATAATTTTATGATGACCAACCTGTATAATATAAACTTCTTCCTTCCCACCATACCAGATCTCAAACTTGCGATTGTCACCTTTTACGTATTCTGTGATTCCAACTTCATCCATCTATGACAAATACATCAAAATTTTCATGAGCATGTTATTTTGTATATGAAATTCCATTAACTCTACCCCACCATACTCAGAATGGAACAGAACTTATCACTTGGGAAAAATACACATTTTACATTCAGTGAATATGAAATCATAAGCATAATCACAGAGCCAAGAATTTTAAGTATTTTTATGAAACAAGACACTTTATAGTTTGCATTGTGGGTTCCAGTCCAGTGATCGACACAAATCTTTTAAATTTAAATATCTAAGTAGCTCATCTAAGACTGAATCCTATTATAAATTAACTACACACTACTATAACAAACTATTGTCAAATAAATATCAGTGAGAAAACCATCTGAAATTAATATAAATGATTACCTCAAACAATTACTTGCAGATCAGTTAATCTTACAAATTTATTACTTATGACCATAGAATCCCTCTAAGTTATATACATTCATTTTATGGGACAGAGAAGAACCAACCAAATATCCAAATATCCCTTTATTTCCACTAATCCCTTAACCACTATAGAAATGAGAACAGCTGCCATGAGACAGTAGTGATACGTTTTTATAGCCACTAAAACCTCTGTATCCAGTATTTTTTTCTCCTCACAGCTTTTCCTCTTCTCCATGTTGGTGTTTTCTACAATCTTTCTTGCCATTTGCTGCTAACACCTTGGCTAATTCCATTAGGGGCAATTTGATTTCCTTCTACATTCTCTTTTAGTTTTCCTTTGCCTTTCTCCTTTTCTTTCAGTTCCTACCTAATTATCTGAACAACTTTCTCACTCTGTTCCACTTATAAGCCCCATAAATGGCCCTAATTAAAACAGGTATTAAAGGTAATGTTAGTCAATTTCCGTATTAAAGAAAACAAAAGCAATTATGGCTGGGAATGAAATGTAACACCTTAATGAAAGAGACTGTGACTCCCAACCTGAGTGTAGCCAGAAGTTACTTTGAAAATGTCCCAAAATAGTTTTGAGTTCATTCTATACCACTCTAGTCTACTTCCACTCAAATATTAAGCTGTAAGATGAATAATGCCACATTCAATCTTTTTAAAAATGGATTTTTCTTTATCACATGGTTTTATCTTAAGTAGCTTGATAAGCTAGAAAGCACATAGGCTTTGGAGTCAAAAAGGGCTATGTGTCTTGGTGTGAGTTGCCGAAATTTTCTGAAATTCCATTTCCTCATCTATAAAATAAAAAACCCATCTGCTTCATACAGTTTATGGAAGAATTATACAGTATGCATTAAGTGCTCTGATCACATAATGAGCTTTTCAGACAGTGAATTTGCTTTCTACTCTTTCCCTTATATGAACTGCAATATTTTTATTACTTTTCATTGCTAATATATAACACATGATCATTAAGTGAATTTTGGAGTTGCTCTGGAAATGTAGCCATATGTGCATGTTTGTTAAATTAAAATAATAGATAACAATAATACAGCATGAACTGAAGAATCTGAAGAACTCAGCATATCCATCTGATTGACTGTGACATTACAGAGGGTTTTCATTTGCAGATAAGTAGCTGACTTAAAATACAGCACACAGTCATCGGAAGGACATTATCAGGCTACGGGATTATAGCGTGCTATGGGACAGTCAAGACAAGAGCCAGCAGACACTCAGCAGTGAAGTGTCTGTGCTGATCTCCCCACCAGGGCAAGACTCTGCCATAAATAACCCTGTTTGTTAAATACCATGTTGACTAGTAATGCCAGAGATTGCTTAATGCTGGAGTTTCATGATATGTAAGCAAGAGGAAATAAGTGAAGCCTGAGAAATACCCTACTTTCCATTTGTCACTAACTGCAGTGCCGCCGTTGTCCCAGGAATCCATGCCTAAATCCTTGTAGGAATTATTGACTAACTTTTAAAATTAAGGATATTAGGAATTATTAGAAAATTGAAGAAAACCTTAAACAGATTTTCCTTCCTTCAAGTATGGAGTATTACTAATTTCGTGTTCAAAGTAAGTCACCATTTCTATCTTCCACGGAAATGTTTCCTGCCTGTAGCCCTCTCTCGTTTCCATGGTAACTACTGTAGTTTCAACTCTCTCGACTTCATTACCAAATATTGGACCCTGCTTGCTCTGTATTTGAGAAACAGTCTGTTGGCATGCCCATGATTATATCATATTAAAGGTAAAATATCAATAAATAGCAGAAATGCTACATTAAGTACTAACTAGCTTTCCCCATAAGTAAAATGCAAATCTAGTAAATCTGGATTAAAACTGCTTATGAAGGGAAAGTGCCTTCCCAAAGAATAAGTACATGAATAACAGATCTAAACTCTGTCCGAAAGAGATTACATCTTCTTGGGATTTAATCCATGTTTACCAGAAACATGAAAGATTCTTAGAAATTTGGGGGGTTAGAGGTTGTCTGCTAGTATTAAGTGAGCAGCTGGGTATTTGTGGTGAAGATAACTGGATTTTAAAGGAGCTGAGAAACTGCTGTGGGTTCAGAAGTGACGCAGAGAGGATGAAACAGCCGGAAAGATCTGACCCAGGGTGAGCATCTTGTTAGGAGTAAGTCAAAGGCAGGGGCCTCTATAGGAAGAAGCAAAGCCAAGGCCAGTTTCTCTAGCAGCTTCTTTACACTAAGACCTCAAACTACTGCAGGACAGCGTCACCTGTCCTCTTCATAACTGCTGCTGAGAATTACATGGACTCGCAGGTGTAAGTATACTGTAACGACAACTGTGAAAGAACACGCTCATGAAAAATGACTAAAGTGACAGGGGTTGGGGAAGCAAGGGCAGTAACTTTCAGTATTTTCCAACTGTTCTCTAAAAACTATCATACTGCCTTTAGAACTTTTAAAACCTGAAAGATAAAATTCATTAGGTGTAAAAAAACTCGAATGCACCAGTTCCAGCCTCGTGTGAATGAGAAGTTTCTCTCATCTGACAACAAAACCAGGTGGAACTTATTATTGGGTTGCCGGCGACTTCCTCAAACAGTACTGCTTTCATTGCAATACCAAACTAATATTAGGACAGAATGGTAGTTTTGGTTATAAGAGATAATCAAAGTTTCCAAGGATAGGACAGGGCAGGTACGGAAAGGATTTCGCTGTGAGTGGCTTTGGATACCCAGGAAGCTAGGACCTCGGAACGGAGGAGGTGCAACACAGAAGGCGGAGACACACCAAGCACATCATTTCTCCAGTTTGAAACTGCGCTGAAGCAAAGCATGAAACTCTTTCTTCCTGGTCTCTACTGTCACATTCAAAGGCCCCTAAATGGCAAGACCAAGAATTCAGTCAGTACCACTGGCAAGAGCCTGTTCATGCAGGAGGCTGGGACATTTCCTGTCACTTTAAACTGTGCTCTGCAGGACACTAGAGAGCCCCACTGAGAAAGCCTGGGCTGCAGTGAAAGAGGGAGGCAGGAATCAAAGCTCCTCCTCCGTGCTCCTTTGCCCCATTCCAAGCACGCAAGTTCCGCTTTGCCAGACTTCTATAGGACTTCTACTTAAGACTTCCTCCAAACTAAGTGACACGTGATGGAAGTATAGCCCACTCACTAAAGAGAAAAATAAAGTTAGCTAGCAAGCAGGAGACAGAGGAAAAGATGCTTTGCAAAAGAGAAACAAAAGCACGTGTAAAATGGAATATATATATATATATATATGCATTACATTACACAGTTCAAATTGTCTTACTTTCAAACAGTGCTTAAAACTGTATGAGGGGTATTTTTCCATGCCTTCTCCACTTTCATTGCGCCTCTTACAAAAAATAACAGCTTTTTCATACAGGAAAAGGTGTCGCTGCATTGGTTTGAATCTAGCGAAATCCTTCATTTTTGTAGCACCTTTCCTGTGTCCTATCCAAACACTGAATCCTCCTTGCAGTACCATCTTGCCAAGATCATTTAAATTTCCCTAGAATAGAAAAATCAAAGACCATTAGTACAAGGCAGAATGACATTCAGATTCCTGGCATCAGCATTTTAGTGTTTCACTTGACCTACTAAAACCCTGAAGCATAATTTGTATGTTTTTTTTTTAAAAAAAATGAATTCACTGTAACCTTTTATGTGAAAACATGCCATGCATTGCATATGTACAAAATTACTGTGGGGGTGGAGGAGAGCGGAAACACCGTGTTCCCTGGCAGAGATATTTCAGCTAGACTACATCTCCCCTTGTCTCCAACAGGAGTGTGACATACACTGCTCCAAAATTCCCCACTGGGGGGAGCCAATCTATTACAAGGCTGCAAACTCCAGAGATTTCATCTTTTCTTTTGTATCTATCCCAGCCTAGAGCTGCAGCAATTCTGAGACATCAGTTTCTGAGGAGTCCTGAACTCTTTTTTTAAGCAAGCTCTGCCTTGGTCCAGACTTTGGAGTAGGCTGAGGACAGGAGAATATCCAAAAGCCATTTTGTTGCTGGTCGGAAGCCAATTCTCCACTTAGCATTATTAATAATGCTAATACTTTAATCTCCATTTTTCTGCCTCTTATATGTTATTTCTCAATTGATTCCAAGAGAGTAAAAACTAATAGTGATATGCTTACTCTCTAAAATTCCAAAAATAATTAAGAGTTACTTACAACGTAGCCATTTATTGAAATCTGATACATGGAGTCATTAACATACTTCAGCAAATCCAGCATTGTGTCAAGCGCCTCCTGTAACTGACTGGATCCTTCAGAGTCTCTGCTATATTTCAATAGCTCCTGTAATTAGAAACCAGGAATTAAAGTTAATATTAGGCACATATTACAACAGTTGGAGAAATGAATAAATTTTTAGCTAACATGCTTTCAAGTGTGACTCTAATGTCACTTTTTACAGTAATTTCTTTCATATGCTCTTTGTCACATTAACACCATATTTAATAACAATGTCAAAACTGAGAAAGTAGAATACTGACTGAACAGTATAAAACAATGAGCCTTCTTGCTTCTAGATCTTGAGAATAGTAGCTATTGAGACACATTAGATTAGTTTTTATAGTACATTAGGTTTTATTACACGTGTTTTATCCTGTACAGCCCAGAGCACACTCATGATACATTCATGATACACACAGTATAGAGATGAAAACACATTTCAAAATAAGCTATGTTGTATTTATGCTTGTCACCAGATTTGCTGAGCCTTTCACATTACACTAGGGGAGTGCCATTTGCATTTTTCAATGAGAAGGTCAATACAAAATAGAATCTCACAACTGTAAAACTATGTTAGCTTAGATCTTGTTAATAATATTGAAAGTTCCTTAGTACAACACTCTGCATGAATCGATGCACCCTGCATGGAAAGTGAAACAGATATTTCCAGCTTGATGCTCATCGCTGCCCTTTGTAATCATGGAAAATGCACACTGCACGGATTTTACTGCCAACTCGTCTTCCTACTTATGGAGCCCACTTATTTCCAGTGCTTCCAGCCATTGACTTCCTTAGTTTGTGTGTATTTGTGATACGTGACAGTTACATTTGTTTTGGGAATTGGTGCGTGCACACACAAACACACACACATCTTGATCATTTTCAATTCCTCTTCTTGTCCTCTCCCTTTTCTCCCCTTTCCTCGGTCCCCTCCCCTTTTCCAAGAAATGAGCTCACCTGTTTCCCAAACACTTCCACTTAAATGGCTTTGCCACCCGTTGCTCAAAAAAGTAAGTAAAGAAACAAATGCTTCATATAATTACCTTTAACAGTAACTGGTACTTAGTGATTCGTTGTACCGGCTTGAGTAAATAAGAATCCAGACCGAGCCTGTGATTCAATTTTCTTTGACGTTCCTGTCATTAGAAGATAATTACAATAAATTTAAATTAAAACATGTACTTGTGAAAACGCCAAGTGTTCACTGATTAGACCCAATGCACGAATATTTTTGGGATTTATTTTAAAGAACATCTGTCGGAAAAAATCTACGGTATGTGGCATGGAAATTATAAATCATGGTAATAACTACAGTAAACAAAATTTTGAATATTTGAGAGGTAGAAAATTCAAGTAGTTCAAAAACTAAAATATTTTCACATAAATTTATATTGATGTGAAATACTTAGCATGACAAAGCAAGGAATTTCAATACATTAAAGATATTAAAAAGTTCTTCAATATATCCAAGAAAATTAATAGAAGACCTAGCTTCACAGGCCAACCCCCCCCCCCAAATGGGTTGTACTAAATATAAATCAGACTGGGTATAAGGAGAGACTTTTTTAAATTACAAGAAAAATACAACCCTCATTAACTGGTGCTATATTTTATTCAGCTACTGATTCACTTTAGTATAAATATAATAGTCATGACACTGGTCCTCAGAACACTGTAGGACCCATAATAAAGGCAGGATGGGGCTGCTTAGGGAGAATATTTATATAGGAAACACAGAACAAGCAGGGTATGGGAAAGGAAATACCTGAATAGGATGTAGGACCCTCCACTGGATATGGATAAAATCCAACACACAATCAAATTCAAATAAAATTATCCATCTATGGCTAAAGAAGGTGAACAGACACATGCTTTTAAATCTCCTCATTCACAAACTCCAACTAAAAGGATGGGGAACCTGCTTTTCTTGAGAAAAAAGGCCCACAGAAGATGGGAAAAGAGAAAATACTGACAAAGTCTGGAAACTGAAATCCAGACTGAGAAATGATAAACAGCTTAACATGCTGGAGAAAAGCGAATCTGTCAGCACAAGGGAAGGCTAAGGGACAGCTCGACTTATGTATAGAACTTCTCTCCATACTCACCCCCTGTCCCCCTGTGCAGAGACTTGGGAAATAGATACCAAGAACCTTTGTAAGTGGAAGATGAAGGTGGGGTTCAAAAAGAGATGGGTGTTCAAATTCTGTTTAAGAAATAATTAGCTGGGGGCTGGGGATTTAGCTCAGTGGCATAAGCACCTGCCTTGCAAGCAGGCAGTTGTGAGTTCGATCCCTAGTACCGATAAAAAGGAAAAAAGACCAAAAAAAGAGAAATAATTAGCTAATAACAAATATGGTTAAGGAAAGCAATCAACACCCTCTTCTACTGTTGGTGGGAATGTGAAACAGAGTAGCCACTGCAGAAAACAGTGTAACACTACCTCAGTATTTCAAACATAGAGTTACCATAAGATTTGACAATTTTATTTCAAATAGAGAGTCAAAAGGATTGAAAATCTATGTCTAAACAAAAACGTTTAGCAAAATTTTCATAGCAAGATTATTCATACTAATCAAAAAGCAGAAAAAAACAAATGGCCATCAATTGATGCTCAGATACACAAAATGTAATATATCCAGTCAGCAGAACCTTGTTCAGCCATAAAAAAATGAAGAACTGATACATGCTACAGCACCGATGAAGCCTGAAAATGTATGCTACACAAATACAACACAGGATCTGATTCCACTGACATAAAAAGTTCTGTCTCTCTATGTCCACAGAGACAGAAGGCAGACTGGTGATTTCTCAGGACTGCGAGGATATAGGAGTGGCGGGGGAGGATATGACTGTTAAAAGGTACAGGGTATTTTATTGTTGGTAAAAATGTCCCTAAATTGATTGTGATGACCGTTATACAACCTTAGGAATATTCTAAAGTCATTGAAGTGCCTACTTTAAAAGGGTACATTTGATAGTAATTTAATTATGTCTCAAAGCTGCTATCAAAAGAATTAGATGGGCATGAAAATCTAAAATAAAAATCTTCCAATAACTGCACCACTATGTACAACTGGGTGGCTGCCATTCCCTCCTCTAGAAGAATAAATGTTTATGGAGTAAAACAAAAAGAGGGTCTCTGACTGAAGGCTACAAGGTCCAAATGGTGGCCGAGTACCATCCTGAAGGCAAGTAGAGTATGTCCTATCTGCCTACTGGTAGCCTTTGTCCTCCGCTTCACTACCACAACACTGGCTGCCAGGCCCCTATATACTGGACAGCAACCTGGGGAACGTAGCCAGCCACAAAGAAAGCACCTGAAGACACAGGTATTGAGGAATACCTCAAAGAAACAGCCTGAGACAAGCCACACAAGAATGAGAATCATGGCCAATAAACACAGAGATGTACTGGGAACTCTCAACGGGCCTTTCAGTACTTCCGGTGTAAGTGAACAGGCAATTACTGTCAGACATCTGAGGAAAGATTCTAAGATGAGTGGCAGGTACCACGTGAAAGAAAAGAAAAGCTATTTGGAGACAGGAACTATTCTGAAAGAAGAAAACTATTTGCAAAGAAAAGTCTATTCTTACCTTCACAGAGATAAACTAAACTGTTGAATTTGTGAAATAAAAAACAGGATGCTAATAAAGGGGGCTGGGAAAGAACAAAAGTTGCTCTTGGAAAAACTAAAAACATAATGGCCAAAATAAAATTCTCAATAAAAAAGAGAGGAAAATGCCAGAAAGTGAAACAAGATGACAAAGAACTATAAAACAAAGAGAAAAGAATTAGAGAACCAGCCCAGGACATGCAACATCTATACAACCGAAATTCAAGAGAGAGGATGGGGAAAGCTGGAGAGAAAAATCAAAGAAAAGAATCAGTAAGTTTGGCCTGGTGGTTCCAAATTCAAAGTGATCACACACAGCACTACCATGATAGCGAAAATAACACCAATATCAAAACCTTAAGGACAAAATAACTTCCCATAAGCTTCCAGAGCATAAAATCAGGTAGGTCACCCGCAATGGACTGAAAATTAAACCAGAATAAGATCTGTGAAAAGCAACACTGGAAGCTAGGAGACAATGGAACAATACCTTTCAATTTCTAAACATAAATATTTCTTACCTAGAATTCTAAACCCAGTCATATAGAATAAAGAGATCTGCAAACACATACACGATCAAAACCGTACCTATTATGAAAACTCTCAATAAACAACTGGAGAATTTGTTCTGCTAAATAACAGAGTATCCATTTACCTAAAAATAATTTTAAGTGAAATAAATGGGACAGATGATGTGTTTGAATGTGGCATTGCTTCTCCAGTGTGAGAAACTGAAAGTGTAAATAAGAATCGAGATGGATGACAGACATGAGGAGGTAGGTAGAAAATGTTCAAGTGGGAAGAGGAACAAGGGAGTGGGGGAAAGGAAGGAAGAGAAAAGAAAAAAAGAACATGGAATAAAAAAATAAAACTTTTGTAAATAACGAGAGGAAGAAAGATTGAAGAGGAGAGGGGCATGGGGAAAAAAGAAGAATCAAGCTATGTACAGGTACAAATTCCCTATAATGATTGGGATCATTATTTATACCAAAGTGCGCCAATAAAATTAATTTGATGAAACAGAAGACTAAAACAAGAATGATAAAACACTTGACATCTGGGAAGCTGAAAAGGCTATTCAAGAGACAACTGACAAGTATTTGCAAAACAATATTCACCAAGATCCTGAGATGAAAGCGTGCAAAGGTCTAGGACATCTAGATAGCAGGTCAGAGAATGTTAGAAGAAAGTTCTAAAACAATATGAAATTTGGAGAAAAGTCAATGCGTGCAAAGATGCTGAGAATACATTTTTATAACACTTAAAACTGAGGGACGTTGTGCTAGAAGCTGGAATAAGTACCTAGAAAATTCAATGAATAACTAGAGAATTGCAATTAAAAAGGGGGGAAGGAAAATACATAACACGTGATTCACCTGACCAGAGAAATTAAATAGTATTAATAATTAAAAATGATACCAGCCTAACCAAAATTACAATTTAGCTATAATGAGACCATTAGAGGAAAAGAATTCTGTGCATATGTGATCGAGGACAGTAGGCATTGCAAGAGGGACTATATCTTCATCTTTCAGGGCAGGAAGCAGAAAGACAGCAGGTTATATGGAGACATGGGTAAATACCTAAAGAAGTAGCTAACGGCACTGTAAGTGTTTGCTTCTGAGGAATAGAAAATACGAGTGTGCGTGCATGCATGTGTTAGAGAAGTACAACTATCAATTTATATGGATATATTTCATTTACATGCATATATAATTTAGCCATAGTGGAAAATACAATTTACAAATACAGTAAGATATATCCCAATATCTTCCAGAAAGAATATACACGATTCTTGAATAATTACTCTACCTTGAAAAAGGCACAATCTGAGTACTTCCTCCAAATTGCCTCTGATTTGGGCTTATTCTGACAATATTTTGCATATATGTGAAAATCGTTTTTCTGTGATAAAGAGAAATTCAAATATATCATCACTCTGTGGATGTAAATTTTCTTAGTGACACACACTGAGCAAGAGTGAGTATGAGCAAGCATTACAAGGAAAATGACCCAAACGAACCCTCTCTGTACTCCAAGAACAGCAGGTCCACTGAACCCAAAGGCAAGATGCATAATTGTCCCAGTAATTTCAGGACTTGTAGTTCTGAACTATAAAAATTTTGTTTTTTCATAATCATGAGCTAATGAGGCACCAAGAAACATGCTCTTGCTATGTCAGTCTCTTAGTTCCCCAGTGAAGGCACTTGCAGCTGAACTTCCAAGTTAGAGCCTGTGTCCTTGGCTCATCACTGTAAGGTGATCCCAACAGTCATATTTTCTTAGGCAGGATCATCCCTGGATTCCTACAGTCACCATTCCTAGGAGCTGAGGCACAGAAGTATTTCGTATCACAGAGCACAGTGCAAGCTCTAGGATTCCACTGCAATGGTTTGTGCAACAAAATTGGTTTGGCATTGTTTTCTCCAAAAACACAAAGACATTTTAAAAAACCCTTTATCATTGCCAAATCTGTTCTTATAAATGGGTTAGTGTTTTGGTGGCCCATCTTTATACAATGAAAAACAAAGTAAGTAGACGTACCCTTTCCAGGAAACAAGATGCCACTCTTTCTGGAACCTGAGAGCAATTTTCCAGGCTGCCAATGAAAATGCTGCAAAATTTTCAGAGAAAAATATATTTATGTGCAACATAATAAACCAGTTATAGCTCTTTTGAATTTTTCATGAAAAAACGCACAGTTGGGCAATTACATACTTGCTATGGAATTCATATATTTCTGTCATGTTTCCAAAGAGAACATCCTTTTTATTTCTCAGGACAGGTGGTATAAGATCAAACATCTCTGGATTATCCATTTCTGCTCTGTAGCCCTATTCAAAATAAATATGTTTATGCATTTGAAAAATATTTTCTTTAACATTTGATTGGGCTACTAAAGGAACAGGTACAACAGAAAATATAGGGAAGTGAGTAAATACAAAGTAAGTAAAGATATTTGAATTTTAATATTTAACTCTCCTAACCCCCAAATTTAACTGTGACTCTTTTTTTAGAAGGCAGAATAGGGAATTCAAGGTTTCCCACTCAGTGAGCAAAGTAAAATGACACTTCCTTGACCTTCAAGGCCGCTTGCAAACAAAATAAAAACCAAATATGAACAATTATAGAAGGGGTCATCAAATTCTGTTTAAACTGACAAAAAGTATGCAGGTTTTCTCAGACCAAATCAATCTCATGGCATCTGTGTCAAATGACTCTTTTTATCTCATTCTCAGATACATCACAATCTCTAAGTAGCACCCTGGGAATAATTATAACAATCCACTGTATCCCTAAGAGAATAGCTTCTCTCTTCTGCAATAAACTCTGGAACAACCATTCCCACTACTGACACGGAACACAAATATGCATGTTTAAACAACAGACAACCTCAGGAAATAGGAGAAATACTCACTACTGACATGTGAGAAGAAAAGAAACAAATATAAAAACTGCCTCAGCTGCTTCATAATGAATGTAGCATGGGACCATTCAGGAAAATGGTAAAGACAAACTGAGTCACTTACCAGCAAAACAGCAAACAGCTCCTGAACATACACTCTTTCAGTCTGTATCAGCTCATTGAAGACGTGCCTAAAATGAAAAGATGATATTTATCAGTTATTCTATTTCTTGAAAAATTGTAGTGCAATGTTTTTATCATTATAACTTGTCCAAGGTAAAAATAGTTAATGCATATTAATACATGGAAAATAATGGTTTCTGTTTTATCAACAAAATATGAAACTAATTTTATAGTTGTTAGAATTCATACTACCCAAGAGACTCTTTAAAATATATTTGAAAGGAAGGAGGATACTAAAGTCATTAATATGTTAAAAATATTATTTCTAACTTACCAAAATTAAGAGTTTTCTAAAAACTCACAAAACCTATTCCTAAATGTCTGAGATTATAATTTTCTGAATATTTCTAAAACATGAATTAGATTATCTGGGTCTTCCCAAGTGTAGATCACACTTAAAATTTCTGCAAAACCTTTGTCTACTTTCTCTATAAAATGAAATACACTTTCTTTTGAATGTGATTTCCAACTGGAACGATGTTTAAAATTCATTTTCTTATCCCTAAATTTAAGTAATTCATTCAAGTCAATTTTAATTTTGGCCCTGTTTTTCTTTTTACATTTTAAAGCATTTAACATTCAAAAATCGTTGGAAAGTGTGTGTGTGTGTGTGTGTGTGTGTGTGTACACAACTTGCTGCAAAATTCTGGCTATTCATAATTCAGTGATATGCAACTTTTAAAAGGAATATTCTTAAGACTAGATTACTAATTGAATATTGTAAAAGCAAAACAATAATCGTTACTAACATCTACAAAGAAGTATCTATATAATCCTTTGTAGTTTCATTCATTTTCACTTCTTATTAAAAAAAGTGACAATGTAGCCAAAAGGCACAATCTTTCACTTCTAAAGTGAAGTATTTGTGGGGATCTAATATATAGCACAGTGACTACAATTAATAACATTGGGATGCACAGTGGAAATTTGCTTAGAAAGTGGATTTTAGACACAGTGTTCTCAACACAAAAACATAACTATGTTAGGTGATAAATACTCTAACTCGACTGTGTATGCTAATGACTTTACAACATACACATACATTGAAGCATTCCACTGTATGCTTTAAATACATACAATTTTATTTGCCAATTATACCTCAATAACGCAGGAAAAAAACAAAAACCTTTTCATTTTCCTTTCCAATCTAGAAAAAAAGCGATAAAAATTCTCACAAAGGTTAATTTTCCTCAAATTTATCTATAATAAATAGATAATGGTTTGGCCAGGACTAAGTGCAAGAATTCTGACATGTCAACTAGTATCTTTTTAATGACATCCATGAGTTTGTGTAAACTCAAAGTTCTGAGCACACTGGCCATGAACACTGAATCACAGACTCCTACAGGAGTATAGGTGACTTTATGTTAATAAATAAAGGATACCTCTTTATAATATCCAAGTTATTGTCATTGTCCAAACTGGAGGGTTGTCCAGGACTCCTCTTCTCCTGACAATCATGCACCACTTCTATCTGAAATAATGAAAATAAAAGTTAAATTAATATCTATGTAGGTGTAGTTCTTCTTTAGGTACTTCTATGTCATAAGTGTACTCTGGCTCCTAACCCTGTAGATAAACTGAAAAGTAATGCAACTGTTTTTCAAAAATAATTTTGAAACATAGATTACTAGTAAAAAAAGTAATGTGAGTCATATAGACAGATTTTAAATATGAATTGGAATTTATTGTATATATTTTCATTTACTTGGCATGTGTGGGAAGTGAAATTGGTTCATAAAATTTGATTTTTCTCAATAACTAAAGTTTATTTATTAAAGAACAAAAACAGCTTTTCAGCCTTAATGATTTTTGTGGAAACCCTGCTATAAAATATTACATTCATCCTCAAATTCTTTAATAAAGGACACACAGTATAATTGATCCTTTTCCTAATGACTCGGTGGTATCATCATAAACTTGAATGTGTAAATAGCTAATGATAAAAACTCCAAGACTACTAAGACATGGGGAAACTCTATTCCTTCACAAAATATCTGTAACTTATGCATCCCTGTCTCTCCTTTGTGTCACATGTTAATTGTTGATACAAATGGCTTCTCTGATCCTAAATTACTACCCTATTTTGCAGACTTTAAAGAACTTGGACTGGTTTACTGAATCAGCTGCTTAGGATTTATTATGGTAAATGTTCTGCAGAAGTATTTGAAATGTATTCCTGGTATCTCAGCTGTACTGAATAGTTGAGCTTGCCAAAACCCTGACATCAAAGAAAATGAAACATTACTTTGTGACAAACAGAACCCAAGATGAAGCCCAGGGTTTATCAGCAAAATAATATATCCATAAAATGTGACCTACATATTACAAATATGCAAATATGTAAAAAAGAAACAGACATTTATTACCACTTTCCATAAATTATGCAGGCACAATCCTAAGTGCTTAACACACAGTTTTATAACCAACCCTCACAGTAATTTACAAGGCTATCCTGTCTTTTCCTGCATTTTAAAGATGGGAAACTTCAAGTTCAGAGATGCTTAGATCATGGTCAAAGTCATGCTTAATAAGTAATGAATCAATCAGATCCAAGTGTCAGAGTCGACAGCTTAGCATTTTGTACAATTCCTCTTGCAGGGTGTGCTTTGATTTGTTATGTCTGGTGAGTGAACACTAATTACTGTCATCTTCATATTATAGTTCACTAAAAATACTGCATACTCCATTTATCAGGCACACATGCACCATTTACTCTTAACAGGTTTCTGAAGCACAGGTGTGGAAAGATGTAGACAGTACTGAACCCTACATCTACTGTGATTTTTTTTTTCTATACAAATGGTCCTATGAAAAGTTTAACTTACAAATTAGGCACAGTAAGACATTAGCAACAGTAACTTACAAAATGGAGCAAATATAACTATATAATGTAATAAAAGTTATGTGAATGTGCTCTAGGTTTCTCTCTTTCTCTCTACCTTCCTTCTTTCCTCCCTCCCTCCCTTATTGAATATCTCCATTTTATATTTTTGGACCCCAGATGGCCATAGAGAACTGAAACTCTGAGAGGCATCAAGGATAACGAGGGACTACTGTACACTTTGAGAAAGGAATGGATGTGATTTCTGACTCCATGATTAGCCTCTGGTCCATCATTAGCACCCGGCCTCTATCCCTGTTTTATACTTACAGGACTGGATTCATTCATGGAAGAAAGATCCGTCTGCAGAAAGAAGTGACATTACTTAGGTTTATGAAGGGGGCGAGGGGTAGAGAGAAACTGGAACTTATATGTGATGTTTTACAGTAACGATTCTGATCTCGCATCGAGACTTAAACTGCTCATACATCTGGGGTTCTGCCAGTAGTGCAATTAGCCACAATGCAGCAGCAGCTTTTTTCTTCTCGATGAAATAGTCTTTCCAATGTACACTATTAGTGTAGTGAGTGAAAAATATGATTTAAGCGCCTATATTAGTTCTGCAACTACAGTAATACAGACAATTTTGAATCAATTAATGATACTTACTTTTAAGTTGCTCTGACTTTGTCTCCAAGTCTTCCCTGGTAGAGAAAGATCAGAGAAGTACAAACCAGAATTAAAGGCAGCACTTCTAATAAGAACACACGCATCTTTATTAAATGATTAGAGTTAATATTTCAATGTGTTTTGATTAGTATTTTAACACACACTATGGAAGACAGTGATTGGTTACACTTATCTGTATAATTTCAACTTGTTATTCGGCATGATTCTCTTCACGCATCATTCTTTCATTTATTTGCCAAGCACAGATCCCAGTGTTAGTGCTCATTATTATTTGCAGACTTAGTGTTCATTTTGACAGAGAAACATTTAATCAGATTGTAGCTCAATGAGTAACCAAAAGACTTTCAAAAAACCCAAATTCAACCTACTGATTAGAGTGCCCACCATTTAGTTGGCACTTACTACATATCAGGTGCTGATTTGAGACCTATGGTACATTTGCTTTTTCAATCCTCAAAAACCACCCTGAGGTGAATAACTTCTATCCTCATTCTACGGATAAGGAACTAAGGTTGGTCTCTTCTTCAAGAAGCAGAGGTAGTATTTAAATCCATATAGTCTGCTGTCCTACATGTTCCTAATCAGTAAATAAAATACTGTCAAAGCATATTAAAATGCGCAAAAAACTCACTTCATCAAAATTCAAAGCTGTAGTATTTATTTTTTAAAATCCAATTTACAAAGGTGAGTCCCTATATTAATAAGCAAAGAGTCAGATGTTCCTAAAAACCTAAGGATATGACTCAGAGATTCAGCTAAATTCCTAATTCTCAGGGCCACTAAAAGGCCATTACCCATATAACGTACATGGGTCCCTTCTCTATGTGAAAGAAATATAGTTTTTTTTTTTCCTTTCATTTCTGAGCAGCAGCCCATGTCAGGCACATTCAGGAAAAAGATGTGCTGTTATATTGACTTTATACTTCATTTTCATTTACTATAAATGAACTGTATGCTTATATAATCATATATAAATATATATTAGACAGTGGAAATTACCATATAAAATCAGCTTTTCCATAGTGATACATCTTATTTTAAAGAAACAGATATGTGCAGATCTGAACCCATTATAAAAGGTGACTTCAGGGATAATGGCTATTTATTAGTTAATTCTTCCCAAACACACTGAGATGCCAAAAGAATATACACATAATTTTGTGGAACACATCTTTTTCTGAAGAGTTAAGGCAAATATATTCAGTCTTTCAATAACGTCAATATAGTCAAAATGACTGGGGGCCTATACAACATGCTGAGCTCTGTGTCTGGGGCTTCGCAAAGACAAGCTTCCAGTCCAACAAGTGAGACAGAAAACAGGCAATTACATAATGCTGAGGAGCCACAGGGAGGCGTGTTATCCTGATGGATGAACAGGGGTGCAGGGGAATGGTGAGAAGGCCAAGCTTACCTGAAGGAGGTGGCCTAGAGACAGGAAAGCTGATGAAGTGGGACATAGCATGGGGGTAAGGAGAAGGGAGAGTGCTTCGGAGACCCACAGTTCATCTAAACCCAAAAGATGGGTAAGGGATGGAAGGAATGGAAAGAAAGACAGGCAGGTAACACAGGGCGACAGGGAGATTGTTGCAGTTGTCAAGGCCACGGGTGACTTTGGCTTAGACCAGCAAAGTGGCAGTCAGGAAAGCAGTGGGGATGGGAAGATGGGTCAAAGAAACACTGAGGAGGCAAAGATTCACAGGACACACAAGATTCAAGTTTGGGCAGGAGTCAGAAGGGTGAACTGAGGTCCCAAGCCAGGGCAAGTGGGGGGATCATAGTGTCATTCACCAAGATGAGGAAGAGAGGGTTTGTGGGAGAGATTAGTCACTTGGGGTATGCTGAGTCTGTGTTTCCTAGGAGAAATCCAAGGAGGCAAACTGTATACACAACTTCATAAGCAAAGCTAGGGAGAAAGATCCAAACTAGAGATACATACCGCTTCGCAGCCTTTTGGTTAAGATCAAATGGAAACTAGAGATACGCTTTTAAACGTTCAAGCTCCATTTTATCCCTCCCAAAAACATCCTTCTGTAATATCGCTTGTACTCAGTGTTATCGCAACAGATATTTGTTAAACCTCCCTAGGCACTGTGTTAGATGCGAGATTTCATTCAGTGCAACAACAGCAACAAAATATAAGCAGAAACAAAGAACAATGAAACACAGTTTGACTCATTTCTTATGAAAAGTTCACTCATATTTGGGTTTGATTGGATGTTATATATTTCTTTTAGCAATTTAAAGTCTCAAAGAATGGCCTGGAATATATTATTATAATTCCCATTAGCCACAGAGCAGTGGGGTAAAATGAACAAGATTTGTAGTATAAGTAACAATTTGATTTCATTTACAAACCATGATGGGTAACGGCTGAAATCACTTATGCATCCACGCCATTTATTCAGTAAGTGCCCTTCTGCCTCATAAATACATTAGGCAGTGCCAAGCTACCTCCAACAAATAGCTGGATTATGGATGGCATGGGAAACTTTAAAATGAAAGAAAGTCTGATACACTCTAACATTAGTAATTGTTTCCCTTTTTGAGTAGTTACTTTATAAGAGAAATTAAGTTCAGAAGTATAATCTACTTTTTTATTTTAAAAAGCAAATCAGAATAAAAGGATAGAAAGAATACAAAATTGTAAGAAATCAACACTAGCTAATATATTGCATATTGCTATGATAAGTAATTGTTCAGGTTACCAGATCTAGGCATAAAAAATGATCAAACAATCAATGAAAGCACAAACTGTTGTTGATGAACTAACAAAGATTAGTAGTACATTAATCTTTTAATATAGCCATTTTCCAAGGTAAGTTCAATGCTAAAAGAGAATAATGGATGGCTGTTATTAAAAAAGAAGATAAAAGAAAAAAAATCATTTCCAGGCAGAACATTTGCTGCTTTTAGTCGCCAAATTGATTTTTTCACACAAACACAAACTCGGAAAATGTACTGATGATATGAAATATAATAAAGATGGGTACCTTTTGAAAACATTTTACATGCTTGAAAGAAAGAGTATCCAACTCCCACTGCAGAAAGAAAGTGTAACGCCATTAAGTAAGAATAGCAGGATAAAAAGGAGAAGAAAGAAATGATACAAAACAAAGTTTCCTTTGGGTGACTCATGAACTTGAATGTGTTTTGGAGAGTCTACCCAGAACCCCAACCTGGAGCGCATCACCTTAGGAGGAGTTAATGTTTTAGAGGACCAAACAAGAAGCCTCAGCCAGAGGAAAGAGAAAGTCCAGTTCAGAGGGTTCTTCTTAGAGGCTGCATGTTCTTACAGGCACCTTAGTCTTCACAACAGCCCTTTGAAGCAGTAGACAGCATTGTCTCTGTTTTACAGACGGGACAACGGAAGCTAAGAGAAGTTAAGTATACTCCCTGAGGTCACACAGCTGATGGAGGCAGGAATCTAACTGAAGTCTATCTTATGCTTAGGAATATCAATCTATTGTGTTTCATTTTCCAGCTATTAGGTTTCATCCCCTTACTTTTGTTGCTGTTACTCATTTTCTCTTTTTTTTTCAGCAACGCTGATATTTCTACTGTTTTCAATTTAGTCAACATCACTACTTCATTGCATTGCTGATACTTTTCAGTATATACATATATTTCATAACTATCACTTTTATAAAACTTTTATCATCTTAACCTGGTTAGCTGCTCTCATCATCTCTTAAATCTGATCCATGCAAATATTTTGGTGCTTATTATCCCTAGTTCAAGACTTCTCTGAATTTCAAAGCAGTTCTCTTACACTAGTGACATCCTGATTGTACATTAGAAACTGAATTAATTCTGTGTTCACTGATTCCACTTACTGAGGGTTTCAATGATCAAATTATTCTTCACTAAGAGGCTAGAAAGGCAGATCAAAGAAACTTTTGGGCCAATTGGTGTATCTTATTTTTTTTTTGTCTTTTTCCTTTTAATCGGTACCAGGGATTGAACTCACAACCGCCTGCTTGCAAGACAGGTGCTTATGCCGCTGAGCTAAATCCCCAGCCCCTGGTGTATCTTATTTTCAGAGTAGTTCAACACCAGTAAAAGGATAAGTATTTCCCACAGAATTAAGAAGAATGGATATTACACCATTAAAATAGACTATAAAGATTAAAATTAGGAAATTGACTCTGTAATTACCAACATTATTCTGTTTACCAGAACCTATTTAGAGAAGGTAACCCAGTGTATTATTTAAGTCATTCACATACCAGAAGCACAAGAATCAAATAAGAGTTTACTAGAGCTCCAGTATATATATGTACACATACACACATATGTGTACATCAGTTTCATAAACTTCCTTTCACCTGCTGAAAAAGACTGTGAATTCAATGCTGGCAAAATTTTCATACTCATTTCGAAAGCTAGAATACTCACTCCTAAAATGTTCTCCATCTTGTACTGTTCTGTGTTACTATTACATTTTAGAACTACATAAAAATCTCAATCTGCTGCCTTCCTTGGGCAATACCATTTGAACATGACGAAAGATTAAAGGAAGCTTTCAGTTTATAAGGACTGCAGAACAAATTCAGCATTTGTATCAGGAGTAACAAAGCAAACAGTTGCAAATTGAGAAGGGACAGAGAAGGTGAAAGTAAGATACTTTACCGGGTTTAGGTGAAAAAAATGGTGCTCTCGGTATGATCGCATTTTCAGGTGTAGGCATCACAAACTGGATTGGCCTCCCATGCTTATCTGCCGTGTTTCTGAAACCAGCCTGCTGGTTCTCAAATATACTTCGAATATTTTCAAGCTTGAGTTGTACAGCCTGCATTTGAACCTGTAGGTTGTATAATAATTCTATGAAATATTTTCTAAAGTGAGATCAGAATACACTTTTACATTTCTCAGACTTGAACTAAAAAATCGGTTTACAGTTCACAACTAGAAGAAATTTAGGAAAGTAACACAAAACACACACACACACACACACACACACACACACACACACACACACACACATATATATATATATATATATCACCAAATTCTCAACCAAAACAATATGGGGGAAAAAAGCAGTCAGAAAATTGGTCAGTGCACACAGTGAATTGCCCTCACTGACCAGAAAATGAATGAGTACTCTTTCCTATTTAGCAGGAGAAAGTCACTAAGTCATGAAAACAATCAAGTGAACACCATATTCTATTGCCTGCGGGATACTCTCTAGTTTTCTATGGTGCAAAGGGCTCCTCAGAGCCACTTATAGATAATATAGCCTTCTGCCCCTCCTAGATACTTTGAGGCAGTTAGAGTTAAGCTTGATTGCTTCCAGAGAATCACAGTTATAGGTACAATTGTGTTTCTAATTTCTCTGATGCATCTGCTAGAACAGTGGTGGTGAACATATGGCACATGTGTCACAGTGGACTGTTTCTATCATTGAACGTTCCAAATGGTTCACCATCACTGCCCTAAGGTGTGCAGCTAAGCATGGATTTAGATACTACTCCAACCTTAGGGTCGACTACACAATTTACCACCAAAGAGTATCACAAATGCTTTTATCTACTATCTCAAAACTCCAATGGCACCAAACTGAGCTAACCAATAGCTCTCTGCCCTGCTCACATCAACTTCTGCCAGTTCCTCCTTCCCCAAGAAGACCCAGATCTTTTTTTCACCCCCTTGTTCTCAAGCAGAGAACGTAGGCCATATCTGTGCTCCTGCAGTATCTGCAGCTGGCTGCGGAAAGATGCTTGATATGGAGTATTCTTAACACGAGCCTGACATCCCAGAATGGTTCTGGGCCTTTCTCCAAGGATGCACATGAAAAATATATGTGAGTGGTCCAGTGTGTTGGAAGATTTTGAAAATAATGGAGCCAAAGATCAAACAGAAGTATACACTTTGGGTTTCTATGATGCTTGACAGTGGTGATACCATCACTTCTCACCCTTAAAGAGGAATACATACATACAGGATGACCTGAAGTTAGCTGGAAGGTCCTAAGACTGTCACACTACTGTAAGTATAGGGTTTTTTAAAATATCTATCTCTTAGGATAAAAGTTTCCTACCTTGAGTTCAGGAGACAAAAATACATCAAATTCATACTGTAGTGATTCCAGGTCATAATTTATGAAGGGCAGAGCCATCGTAAGAAAATTTTCAATGTCTTGAAGGGCTTTCTGAGCCTCTTCTTTAGACTGAAACTTATCCATCTCCTGATTAGCTAGAAGACATTCCCCTTCATCACAGCACTGACGAGCCTGGTGAGAAAATCAAGCAAAAAAAAAAAAAAAAAAAAATCAAAGAGTGAACAAAGAGAAACAGAGCGGGCATCAGCCCTTGCTTCTGTGAATCAGAATTGCTTTCAGAGCTATTTAAATTAAAGATATCTGGGTTTTGCCTCCATAAATTCTGATTTCCATAGCTCTGGGACATAAGCCAGACATTTATACTTTCTCAGAGCTCCACAGGTATTGCTGATATACAGCCAAGGTTGGGAGGCACTGCATTTATTTCTTAACAAGTAATTTCTTCTGCTGCAGGAGTCTGAGCATTTTCTCAACACTTCAGTTGCAGGTTATTTTCCCAAAATCAATATCTGAAATGTAAAACTCCTAGGAAGTATAAAGTGTTGTACAAATGCCCAATGAGTCCCATGGAGAAGAATAAAGGATTCCTTATCCCAAAAAGGAGATATACAGACCAAAATGTGATTATTCAGAGACAATGTCTGTAAGTGCTACCCCTATTTTACACACTACTGATAAGAACAGGTCTGTACAGTGACCTTTCTATTCACAGCCTAATTATAACAGGGGTTATATATAACCCACAGGCCATGGAGAGTATTTTCAAATCATTATACTTTTTTGTCTTATACTATGCACTATGGAAGGAATTTCGGCTTCAGCAAAATGCGCCCCAGGCTTTAAAGGGTATTCTCAGTGCAAACCATCTCTAACAGAGCCTTCAGAGAGATACTCAACGCAGAATAGAAGACATCGCCATCGTAGTGTTGTTTTCACAACAGAGGGCAAAATTTGAACTCTGCCATGAATATAGCATAAACAGATGGATTGACAAAAACAATAACCAAACTCAGTCCTTAAGACTGACTACAAATTTAAATCTAAAGCTGTATCAGACCTGACCTATTAACCTCTGAGAAATTAACAAGTATGCCCTAAGGCATAAGGACAAACATATGTCAGGTCAAGAAGACCCAGGAAAGAATTTAAGTCCATTTCAAAAATGGATCATTTCCCATCATACTACCTGCTGTAGCAGTTTATGCATGTTGAAGGTCCTGCTGAGCTGTATCTGTTTTGACTTCATCTCACTAGCCAAAATATCAGAAAGGTAACGTAGTTCATTGCACCTCTGGCAGATTAAATCCAGTGCATAATGGTGATTTGATGCAAGCTGGTGTCCATGTAACATCAGAAATTGGGCCTTTCCTAACAGTTTCTGATTTAAAGAAAGCAAGCAAATAATGATTAAAAAGCAAATTGAGTAGAGAAGATACATTCCCAAAACTTGATGTGATATTATACTTCCGCAGGCTGCAAAAAGCTTACTGTTGCAATATTAGCGCTAGAAGAGATGTCATTAGAACCTTATACATTCATAATTAAAGAAATTGAAAGGCAATCACCCCAGCTCACTCTGATTGGAGACCCAATTTATTCTTCCCGGTATGTACACGTTTAGAACACAACTACACATAGCAACTCAGGTACACACCAACTAGATGAAAGCTAATGTATTTCAAATCATTCTAGCCTGGAAATCCTATGACAGTCATTGATCTGAGTACTTCTTACATATCTAAAATGAATATCAAAATAACCTGAGCAACCTTGCTTACAGTCTACCAACTAATGATATACTTGCAGTGTCACCCAGGTGCCACATTAAAGAAAAAGGAATTTAGACCAGTATCCTTGTACCAACTATACAAAATTTTGGTATGAGAGACTAAGCACAGTAAGCATTTATACTACTTAGTACTACCAAAACATAACTATTTGCTCCCATGAATGCAGTAAGCACTCTAAAATGCAATTTTACCTGAGAATTTTCATCTAGGCTTTCCATTTGTTTTATTTTTTGTTTTATTTGAGCTATGTTCCCTGTTACATCACCCAGCTCTGCTTGTTGATTTAACAGAAGTTCAACTTCAGTCACGAGCTGAAATTAGAAAATACACAGGTATTTAAAACATACCAGTTATTATATGCTTTCACTTTATGATTGAGTTTTGTAGGAAATGCTATAAAACAAGAAGGTCATGGAAAAAAATACACATGAAAAATATGTTTAGCTATTTTATTCAAAGAAATAGCTGTAATTTGTGAAAATTTAACCTTTGAGATATCACGGCTACCTATGATTTACAAAAAATCGCTATGCACACATATGATCATAAATATGTGGACCTTTACTTGTACTGATGTGTATATACACATACATGTATCATATGTACATGCATATATATATATATATATATATATATATATATATATACATACACATATACTTTTCAGCTCTATGGTGAATGATCCCAGAAGCAAAGATTCTAGGTAGCAACTAGCATATCCAGACCCCAGATCTTTTTTTATATATAATTTTCCAGAGGTAAAAACAGAGTTATGCAGAAAAGTTTCTGTTCCTGGGATCAACACAGAACAGATACAAGATGAGCTTGTATAACATCTCTATGCCAGAAAGAAAATGATTTTTTTCAATGTTGGGACAATGCACGGATAGAATAGCCAGCTTTGAGAAACAACAGCATTAAGAACAGTAATAAATTATAAACTATTAATAATCCATAGATCAAATAAATGAGAAAAAAGAAGGCTCTTGCTTTAGTACAATGCTTACTGAGGAAGGATAAATGTAAAATCATCATTCTGCTACCACACAGTAAAGATTGGCTCAGGAGAGAATCATTAACATATGCTAAATCTATGGATAATTTTCCTTTTGTTTAGTTTTATTTTGCAGTGCATAATGATTCAATTCCTTGTAGGCTCACGTACATAACACATCTTCATTCTTTTTACATCCCCTTCCCCTCCCTTCTTCCCTTCTCCCTCTATCTCTTGGTCTCCCTGCCTTCTGCAAAAGACCCATGGAAATTCTCACAAGGAGCAAGATATTTTGCATTCATTATATTTTCTCCCCACATGTGTTCTACTACTTATAAGGGGTGAAGAATGAGTAAGTATACTGTAGAGAAATTCAAAACACTCTGGTTAATCAAAATCCATATCAACCATAAGGGACAGGTGAGCATTAGCCACCTCCAGATGTGACACCATGAGAAGGGCACATCACTGGGTAGTGTTCTCATTGGTTAAACATAGACTAAGCTGATCATGGGAAGATATCAAGCAAACTAAAATTGAAGAAATCTTATTTTTAAGACTATTCTTCAAACTGTTATGGTCATAAAAGACAAAAGAAGAACATAGAAATGTTCTGTATTCAAGAAGACTAAAGAAACAAGACAACCTAATGTAACATTGCATTGAAAGGAAAAGGTGTTAAGAAGGACATTTTTATTCCATATTCCAATTGACACAATTGGAATATGGATGGTAGATAATATAAAAGTATTATATTGTTGTTAAACGTACCAAACTTCATAACTGTACTGTGAATGAATATACTTATTATCAGGAAATGATTGAAGCATTTAGGGGAAAGAAATAAGAAAATACACAAGTTATTCTCAAATGGGTCAGAAAAAAATGTCGTTTGTCAGAAAAAAAATGCATACACACAAATGAGGTAAAATATCAAGTTAACCCTGGGAGAATATACAGACTGAATTGTTGAGATTACAGTGTAAGATAAACTACACTGATTAGAGACAGCAATGACTGGAGAAAACAAACTATAACCACAGAACAAGAATGCAGAATGGCTGCAAATGACATGCAAGAGATACACAGCTGGTATGCTCAGGAAAGTGCTCTTCTGTGACTTTGGGGTTGGAGAAGGAAGAGAGACACAGATTACCTGGATGGACCCAGAACAATTTAAACTACTCTCTCTTTAAGTCAGGCTTCATGGAAAACATGGCATCTCAAAAGCTGTTTGAATGAAAGGATGGAGAAGGCTGGTAGGAACTAAGCCTGTGTCTGGAAGGCAGGGGTCCGTCCATATCTAATTCTTCTAGAACAAAGGAAATAGCAAGTGAGCCACTCCCGGTAAGAAATGAGCTAGACATACAAGGAAAGGAAAGAAAGCTTTCTGTGGTGAGCTCCATCTAATACTCGGCGGTCCGTGAGGAGCTTGGGTGGGACGGCAATGGAAATGGAAAAAATGAAACCATGTGTTTTGACAACATACAGTGGACTGTCCAGAAGGGCCCAACTGGAATAGACTTTCAACCTCTTAAACAATGTGAAACCAAACACGATTCAGTTGCATCTATCAGGCTCTTTATAGAAACAGATTCCTGAACCAGAAAAGAAGTTTGTTAGATCACAAGGTCAGCATAGATATGTGGGATTTTAAAACCAAGAGGGAGCTTATGATTGAACTCTACCACATAGCCTGTGAGTACATTATATCTAAAGTAATTCTGAATAAAAAATCCCAAGGTAGACAGTATTTCTGTCCCTATCACACAGGTCGGCACCTAAGTACTTTCTCACTGGAAAAAAGTTGAAGAGGAGATATACTAGAAGTTTAGTAAAGGTTTTGTCCATTGTACACTAAGATTTACTTATATTAGCCTGTAAGGAGATCTGACAAGACAGGATTTCTTATACTCAAGGAGAAAGACCCTCTGGTGTAGTGAAAAGAAATTATAGAAAAAAAATGTTTTAACTCACCTCTTGAAAGTCTTGCTCAAATCTCCAGAGCTGCAGATATTGTTCCATTTTTAATTGGTGTTTTTCCCAAAATCCATCAAAAGCTGTTTCCATGTCATGTACTTGAGTCAGCAATCTGAACAAAGAAAAGTCAAAGAATTCCTTAAAAACAATATCCTGTGTGGCAGAGATGTAGATAAAGCTTGTCTGCATGTTTCGAACAGAAGGCAATCACAGGCTGTAGCACTCGGTTCCAGCACAGATAATCAGTGACCACAGAACTTAATTGCGCAAGCATAACTAATCTCGGCAGGACAGCCATGGGAAGACGTCCCTAGACTTAAGAGGTCCAGAAATACGCTTACACTGGATGGACTGTGGAAGAAATGATAACTGCATCTGAAAATACAAAATAATTGAACTCAAAACCAAAAAAAAAAAAAAAAAAAAAAAAAAAACAAAACCACTCACTTATTAATCGTTTGCCATTCACCACTTATATTTCGATGCTGCTCAAGGCTTGAACTGGCAGCTTCCTCAGCATCAGGCACTTCCAGATTCGTCAGCAGAACTTTTCCTTCTTTGGTTACAGCTGTAATGTCATTCTACACAAAGGGAGAATGGGATACGTCAGCCAGTTAGTAACACAACCTCAGTGGCTGTAAGAGAAGGAAGAGACACCCCTTGGCCATGTAGAATAGCAACACCAGTGGGGACAATGGCCTTTGGCTTTCGCAGCTGTCTGGAAATTCAAGGCACATTTCAGACCCCAAAAGCTGTGAAGCTCCTAGAAGCCCCGAACATAGGAATGGATGTTCTAATCATTATTTCATTAAACTGTTACAGGCAGACGTATGACATACTGCTTACAGCCATTTTTACCTATTCCATTCTACTCTACTTGGGTGCTCAAATCCACCAAGAGTAGAACAGTAAGAGCTCCCACACCAGGAAGGATACAGTGACAAAGAATATTTAATGTATATTCAGGAACTACATATCTTTCTAATATTTATTACCAATCGATCCCTGCCTTAAGTCATATTTTACTTCACATTTGGGTTTCATTAACATGAATAATATACCTCTATTTAGAAGGCTGTATTCTTGGAGTGAGCAAAAGACATAAATCTCAGACATCTAGGAGTAATGTAAGATTTTTTTAAGGAAGTCCAAGAGCCTCTAAAGTTTGGATATAAGGAATTGGGGTGTCATTTAATGGTGGGTTGTCTGCTTGGTGTGTTTGAGTTCCTGGGTTCCATCCCTAGCACTGCAAAAAAGAACTAGCTAAGACTTGTAAAGTGCCAACTCTGCGCCAAACATTGGTGCATGTTCCTTACACACTATACTGCATTTCATCTTCATAAAAGACATACACAAGATATCCATGCATCATCAACCTCATCGTGTAAGTAAGAAAAGTGAAACACAGCATGGTAAGCAGGCTGTCCAACATCACAGTTTGTGAGAAACAGAGCTTTGTTATGTTGGACACAGTTTTACTTTTAGATTGTGATTCAAACATTCACATCTTCTCTCCTCTTAAGAAACATGTCAGCTCTCCTAGAGCTGGAATCTGTCAGTGCACCCAGAACATCTATTACTATACTAAGGAGAGGAGTAATATTTGAATGCTTTGCTCTTGTTGAGATTGCTTTTCCATTTTTGGAGGAAAATGACCCTAAAAGTACTTGTTTATTATCAGAATCATGTCTGCAAACCTTTCACAATTTAACACTCCAGGCACAACTGAGTGAGAGAACAAAATCAATTTCTTACCCTTGGTCTACTACAGAAAATGTCAAGCACACAAGACTGAGGCCAGCCTGGGCAACTGAGTGAAACCCTGTCCCACAATAAAAAAAAAGGACTGACTGGAGATATAACTCAGTGGTACAGTGCCCCAGAGTTCAGTCCCCAGTACCAAAGATAAACAGAACTTAAAAATAACAAAAGGAAGGAAAAAAGGAAGACATCAAACATTAGTACTCTGCAGACAACAGAGCTTGTAATTGACTCAACAATGTTAGCCTTGGTTATAACTCTAGTTCAAGGCAGTCATGGTTAAGGAAGCAGACCTCCTAGTTCCTCATCAACTGTGCTCCTCCTATGTCATGCTATACTGGCAATGGGGTTAAAACAGAACACCTGTCCAACACTTGGCTCTTATCCATGTTTTCTCAATAAGAGGAATTTTCCATGAATGAAAAAATACGCGATTCAAAGAAAATCAGCAGTAGACTGATTATTCTGGAGTATTTATATGATAATCTAATTTAAAATAAACTATTTTATGAGATAATGCACCATAAACAAAAGGAACCCTTAGATTCAACATAGCTGGTATATTCTTAGCTGATAAAATATATTTCATAGTTTTTATATAGTGTATACATATCTTTTGTCTTTCTGTAGCAGTGATCAGTGTGAAAGGAACATATCAAGAAACTCTAGAAAAAGAAAGGCCACACAAAACTCTTGTTTCTACATTCTACCAGACAGACCTTCAACACATGGTATCTTTCAGCACGAAGGGCCAGAGTTTCTTCTATTGAAGGAATATCGTTGGGTAGTTCTGATTCAGCCAGTTCCGTTCCAAAGGATTGTAACATCTGAGCCATTTCTTTTACTGTGAGGGCAAAATTTTCTATAGCCTGTGAAAAGCCAGTGATTCTGTTATGGAAATTCTACCATTTTGACAGTAACTATATTTCTTTTTATTTGGGTATAACAGCAAACATACATGCTATGAACTCTCTTTTGTACAGGTAGTTTGGTATTACCGTTAACAATCAGCTCTAACTTTGCATTTAAGCCTCTAAGAAACTAAAAACATGATTAAGAGTCTTCTTGAGTGTCATTTTCCTAACTCACTGGACTTTTTCTCTTGACACTAATGAAAACTATTTCTTGGGGGCTGGAGATGCAGTGCAGTGGTAGAGTGCTTTTCTACCATGCATAGGGCCCTAGGTTCCATCCCAAGCAAAAAAACCAAAAATGACAAAAAAGAAGAATAAAAAAAAACTACTTGTTACTACATGTAGTGAGTAAGTCACTCCATGCTCTTGAAAATCAGTGTTTTTCCTTCTTTTATCAAACTCTGCAATGGGTAAAACGGCTTTATAATAAATTTACTTCTGAAAGGGTGGTTAATGATAGAAAAATAACTTTCCATTTATTTCATATCCTCTATGAAAAGCATTAGCATTCCAAACTGGATAATGATCTAAGGAAATGGGGAAAGAAGTTGTTGCAACAAGTCATGGCAACTTCTGAAGATCTGAAATTGTCACCCCCTAAGGCTCTATTGCTCTAAAATAGCAAGTAAGGTTGTGTTTATTTTGCTTACAAAATCAATTACTACTCACAGTAAGATGAACAGGATGTAGGAATCATATGAATCACCAGTTTACCATGCAACTCAAGGCATCTGCTCTTTTCTTTAGGCTTTATAGATTACTAAAACCTAACTACAGGATTGCTAATTTTGACATTTCGCCTTCATATGAATGAATGAGTGCTGAATGAATTGTTAAATGAATGGATGGATGATAAATAGGGATGCTGAAATGCAAACCTGATTTAATGAAATTTCTTATTTCCTTCAGAACAGTTTCCATGTCTCTGGAATTTGAAGCCAAGATATTTAAACCACAGACTCCCACCTGGAAGGCACAGGACCCTCATCTATTTGTAAACCTCTAAAACCAATGCAATTTCCTCGGGGATATTACCAGGCCAATGAGATGAATGATGTTGATATTGCACTTATTGAGGGTTTGCCATTTACCAGGCACCCAGCCAGATATCTGGCATTAGTTACAGTCATCTAGAGAGGCCTAATGAGGTAAGGTATTCTTATTCCCATTTTATAAATGGGAGAGCTATGATTTTGAGAGGTTAGGTATATTGTCCAAGGTGACATAGCTAAAACTCAGAAATTCGAGGGACTGAATCCCAACCCTTTGTTTCTACAGGGCTATGGGAAGGGAAGGGCAGAATATGTTCTTATTCCCTAGGCCTTTCCTTCAATGGCCATCCTCAGAGACTCTTCGTCATTTCTAGATATTTCCTACGGAAGAAAATCAAGAGGTTGAATTGCGTATGTATTTCAGAAGTAGGAGCCCCAAAAATCTATTTTTCCCAAATAGGAAACTTTTCTAGAACTAGATATAAAGGCTAATACAAACTATAGGCTCTACAGTAAGGGCAAAAGCAACATACATTTCTGAAGATGATCCATTCACTGTGGCAGTACTGCAAGGTGCCGCCTAACTCAGGGGTTAACTGCTTGCCATCAATGTATGCCAGCAAATCACTAACTGAGCTCAGCATAACAACCTATATAAATAAGCAAGAAAGATACTGTTAACTGTCCTTCATGACATCCCTCCATTAAACTGTAAAATGAACTTTAGCATACATTTCCCAGAAAGTCAGCTTGTATAAGTGGTTCTAACAATTCTCTCCTGCACAGGCCCGCCACACATATATTACCTTCTTCAGGTAATCACAGTTTTTAGTCACACAGCGTTGCTCTAGAAAGTAATACTGGCTTCCATAGAAACCAAAATGCTAACTTCTGTTTCATCTAAGAGTTTTCATTGTTCATGGACCAGCTTGTGAACGAATGCTATACTTACAAAAAATAAAAGGACTTTCATCCTTGTTTATAATATATGAGGAGAGACTGATCTTTCCAAAAACATCAAGATTGACTAGCATTCTATTCCTAACAATAAGAACATATAAAAATATCTTTTCAAAATAAAGAACATGGTACTTTGCACTACCTCAGGATGTGAGTTCATGGGAGTTCAAATACATAAAACACACACTCAATTTTACTAAAAATAAAAGTTTCTGATTTTACACACAAACATACACATATATACACATACATATAAAAACATATGCATTTCTAAAAGGATTTTTGTTATAAATTTCTTGGTCTATTCCTTTTTTATCAGCATAAACAGAAGGTCTTTGGCTATTTACATTTGTAGTTTTGGAAGGCAAATTTAATTTTACTTTCTTTTAAATACTATGTGGGCACATGTAAAACATACAGCGTGGTAGAAAGTTTCCATGAGAATTCGAGATAAAATATTTAAATCAGACACTCTTACTGGTAATTTGACCATGAAATCCTCCTGACTAAATCGAAATCCAATATCTGTGAACGTTCGTTGAAGAAAACTGGTGGGACGTAAAACCAAAATCAAATGCAAGTTCCCTGGGAAAGAAGCCTGTAAGGAGAAAGAAAACAAATTGGCAAAACACTTAACTGAGCACAGAGCAGAAAACACTGTAACTGAAAGCAACAACCTGTAAAGTCATAAAAGCCGGTAAAGGGCCAACACTTCGAAAATAGATATTGATAAAATCTAAAATCATGGTGATACGAATAAAAATAATGTAAGGTTATCAGGCAGATCCTGCAGTGTTCCTCACACCAGATAAGTAGATCCCACGTTACAAAAAATTAAGACTCTAAAGCTTTATTTTGACATTATTTTCATGGGGGTTTTTTGTTTATTTATTTATATTTTTGAGACAGGGTCTCATTTTGAAGTTCAGCTGGACTTGAGCTCACTTTGTAGCCTACGCTGGTCTCAAACTCACAACGATGCTCTGGCCTCAGCCTCCTGAGTGCTGGGATGACAGGTGTCTGCCACCACATCCTGCTGTTTTTATTGTTTAACTGAAATAAAATTGTACTTTTGTGGAGTACAATATTATAATTTGGTAACTGTATACAATGTGAAATGATCAAATCGGGGTAATTATCATTTCCTTTTCCTGAAATATTATCATTTCTATGTGTTGGAACCTTCAAACTCTTCTAGTTATTTAGAAATGTATAATTCATCACTACATAGTTTAGCTGATGTGCTATATGACAGTAGAACTATCCTCTTCTCTAACCACCCTTTGGTACCAATCATAGGACCTCTCTCTCCCTTTCCAAATCTTCGTTTCCTAGCTGTTAATGGCCTCTGTTCTACTCTTCTATGTAATGAAATTTTAGGACCTATCAATGAGAACTTGTAGTCTTGATCTTTCTGTGCTTCATTTACTTCACTTCATATAATGTCTTTCCATCCATGTTGTTACAAGTGACAGGATTCCATCTTTTTCTTAGCTGAATAATATTCCATTGTTTATATGTATCACATTCATCTACTTATCTGTTGATGGACACTTAAGGTTGGTTCCATATCATAGCCATCTTTGGCGGTGCTGCAATAAACATAGGCATGCAGGTCTCTGTTCTAATCATTTCAGGTCCTTTAAATAAATGGTATTTTTGCATCATATGGCAGTTTTATTTTCAGATTTTTGAAAAAATATCATACTATTTTCTGCAGGGAGTGTACTAATTTTTATTCACATTAAGAATATAAGAATTGGGGCTGGGGATTTAGCTCAGTGGCATAAGTGCCTGCCTTGTAAGCAGGCAGTTGTGAGTTCGATCCCTGGTACCGATAAAAATGAAAAAGACAAAAAATATATATATATAAGAATTTCCCGGGGGCTGGGGGTTTAGCTCAGCGGCATAAGCACCTGCCTTGCAAGCAGGTGGTCGTGAGTTCGATCCCCGGTACCGATAAAAATGAAAAAGACAAAAAAAAAAAAAAAAAAAAAAAAAAAAAGAATTTCCCTTATATCTCTGCCAGAATTTTAGATAATAGCCAATTTAGCTGGATGAGATTATATCTTATTGTGGTTTTGATTTGCATTTCCTTGATGATTAGTGACATCGAGCCTTTTTTCATACATGTTACTCAGCTGACTATCTTCTTTTTTTGTTGTTTTTGCTTGTTCATTTTGAGACAAGGTCTTGCTATATGTAGGCCAGGCTGGCCTCGAACTTGTGGCAATCTTCCCTCTCTGAGCCTCTCAAGTACTGGGATTGTAGACATGCCCCACCACACTTGGCCATTTGTGTAGGAAATGTGTATTCAGATCATTTCTCCATTTTAATTGCACTGCTTGGTTTTTGTCTGTGAGACGTTTTTCAGTATTCTGTATATTAATTCCTTGTCAGATGAATAGCTAGCAAAGATGTCCATCCCACTCTGTCGATTGTCTCTTTTCTTTGTCCATTATTTCCTTTACCATAAAGGTTTTTAGTTTGGTATAACCTCACTCATCTGATTTTTTTTCTTTTTCTTGCCTGTGTTCTTGAGGTTATAGGCACAAAAATATCTTTGCCTATACCAATGTTTCCTCTGTTTTCTTCTTATAGTTTCCTAGCTTTTGGCCTTACATTAGGCCCCTGATCCATTCTAAATTAATTTTTATATATGGTGAGAGGTGGGAGACTGATTTCATTTGTTTGTTTATGTACATCTATTTTTACTGAAGAGACTTTTTCTCTAACATGCGCTCTGGTTACCTTTTATTGAAAATCAATTGGCTATATAATTGCAAGAGTTAATCTCTCTATTCTATCCTGTTAGTTTATGTGTCTGTTTTAAAACTACTATCATACTATATTTGACCTCAAATTGCATTTGTTTCCTATAAAAACCAGCAGAGTTAGTAGGTGGATTCCTAGGTTAGCCCCTAAAAGCCAAAGAACCTGGAAATACTATTACTTCTACTAAACAACATTAGAAAACTGTATTATGGAATCATAATTTTTTTTCATGCAAAGAATTCACTAAACATCTTTTATGCGTCCCTTACATGTACTTAAATGAAATATTACCAGGCACTGTTAGGGACTGAAGGAACACGAATCAATAAAAGCTGGTCTGCACTCCACACAGATGAAAAAATCCAACAGCAGAGTTCATTAATAATCATTAACTCTAAAGTATGGTACATTGATAAGTAAAATAAAATGAAGTATAATACTATACAAGAGAAGTGATAATACATAGCATACTAGACCTATAGGGTCAAAAGGGTCTTAAATCGCAAACCAGAATTTACTGGATCAGAATGTCATTCTAGCTCATCACTGTTTCTCTGGGTTCTAGAACAGTGCTGGTGTACAGTAGGCAGTCAAAGAGATTTAGATGAAAGAACTATCCAGACAGACAATTACTGAGGAGTGGCCATAGTATGGTCTGGTAATACTAGTAATAAATCATCGCATACTGTCTATTCTATGGTAGGTATTATGCTAACAAATTCATAATTTCTCTTCATATAAAGGAGTTAGAGTTACAAATAAAGTAGGATTCAGGGAGTTTAAGTATAGTTTGCAAGAGCTCATGAAACTGATATGTCCCTAAATCCGTGCTCTTAATCACTAAGCTGACACCTCTTGAAAAATCCTAGGCAAGAAAGCCAGAGGAAAATGATGCTGGTGACAAAGCAAGATGATGTCGTCAAAAGACAGGCAGGAATTACATTAGGAAAGACGAAGATTTTTTTCCTAGAGAGAAAGGGAATATGTAGGCGGTTCTGAGCAGCAGGACCACATGGCCAGATTTGTATTTTTAAAAATTTGCTTGTATTGCTGATGGTCAAATCCAGAGTCCTCAGCAAGTACTCTCCCACTGAGCTACATACTCCATCTGCTCAGAGGTGCATTTTACAAAGACTGGATTGAGACAACAGCTGAAGTAGACAGATGAACTAAGAGGCTGGCAGAGGTGGCTAGTGTAGTAATGTAAATCAGATGTCCTAACCTTGAGCAAAGACAGTGGGAATAAAGGTAGCATTTAGGGGGTATAATCAGGAAGACTTTAGGACTGAATAGTCTTGATGAGAAAAGAGGGACTCAAATCAATTTCAAGATTTGAGGCTTGAGTAACCAGGTGAATGGTGCAACCCTCACAGAGACGAGAAACAAGTGAAGTAGATTTTAAGGAGGAAGGCAAGATTCTGAGTCCCCTTCACAGAAGTGTGGGGTTGCAAGGATCACAGAACATCCAGATGGAGGTAATCAGACAGCTCTATGTACAGATAAGGAGGGGAAAAGTCTAGAGTAGGAGTATAGCATCGTCAGCCTCAAGGGGAAAATTAAGGCATGATAAACAAAAGTATATCCAAAGGGTTTCAGACAGGCTTAGATTTCAGGCATGTTGCAATTCTAGCAACTGACCAAAGCTAGAAGACTAAAGTCAACAAGCTATTTCAAAGGCAAATCATTTATGAGGATTTTCTGTCCTTCCTGCTCAATTCTGTTGTGGATTTTAAAGTAAAAAGTAGGATCTATTAAAAAGAAAGAAAGATAACTTTCGCGGAATTTTAAGACTTAAACTCCTGGAAAAATAACACTCACAAACAGGGACTATAAAATGCAACTTGAGAGAGTGCCAAAAATCGTAAACTATTAAGTGGTAATGAGAACTACAGGAAGGGAAAGGGCACTGAATGAGACTGTCACAAATAAGTCAATGAAAAAAGCACAAAATTAAATCAATAAATTAAACAGTGATTATAAACAGACTCATATTAGGATGACTGCCTACACACAATTCTCCTAAGCAACCGCATCTCTGTTAACGTCTCCCTTCTTTTGAGAAGCCAGGTCTCCCTGTTATTATTCTAAGCATTATTCCAAATGGGACAGCTATCTTCCTGCATGACTCCACCGTTCCAACACACAATAATTAGTGGTAATTAGAAGTGTTAGCATGCAAATGAGAAGTAAGCAGGAATCTAATCCAGTTTAGGCTTATTCAATCTAATGTTGAGGAAAGGAAACTTTGAAGATATCAGTCCAGAGCTACTGGTAGCCTGACCCCTGATACTGGAGAAAGATTATATTGTCAACATGTACACAAAAATGGAAGGAAGATGACAGAGTTCTCAAGACAATGAATACTCCATCCTCAAATATGTATACGATATGTAATATATTTGATGTTAACCATGGTGCATATTTCCCATAGTTATTTCAAGAATTAAAAGAAATAATGAACATAAAAGTACTTTGCCATCTCTAAAAACATAAATAAGGTAGTTTTTAAAATTTATCATGGATTTTTGGGCCTAAAAACAAGTACATTTCCTGAATTTCATAATTTCCAGTACAGTCATTTAAGAATTTTCTAGAAGCAAGTCCATAGGGCGGATAAGCTTCAAGTCCAAGATCATGTGGGGGTACAGTAAAAGTAAGTTTCTGTGGAAGACTTTAGAAATGTTGACAATGTTTTGTTTAGCAGGAGAAGTTGACAGGGACTGATGGGGACTCTGGGCCTATTTTTAGGATGAGATCATTGATTCTGTTTCTAGTTCATTTACTTGGAATGAATGGGTGAGTTAAGCCTTTCCTTCTCCTGGG